TTTGTGGATCGGCGTGACATTCGCCAACCTCCAATCATCTGGGACCTCCCCAGTGAACCTGGACTGTTGGAAGATGATGGAGAGTGGCTTGGTGAGCTCTTCTGCCAGTTCCCTCATCACCCTTGGGTGGATCCCATCTGGTCCCATAGACTTGTGGGAATCCAAGTGGCTCAGTAGGTCACTAACTGTTTCCTTTTGGATTACAGGGGGGCTGTTCAGATTCTTATCTCTTTCTACAAGCTTCAGAGGCCAGCTGTCCTCAGGAGAACGACAGGTTTGTAACCATCCTCTGCTACCAAATATGTCATGGTTTGAGAGCCCCAAAATCCAATTCTCTAGTCCAAGCCCCCTCCCACATCTCAACCCAGGGTGAGATGGGTTTTCCAGACACCACACGAGACTCAAAATGGGGAACGGGATTATATATTACAATGACTGTACAAAATAAATACTACAATACATTATATACAATTTTAGCTATCTCTACCATGACATAGAAGTATTTACAATGGATCAAACCTCTTCTCCCCTCCAAATAAAAGTCCAGGAGGGAAGAAGGAAGGATCCTTTCCACTTTCAGAGTAGCATTCTCTTCAGAGTAGCAGTCTATCTCTCTCTCTCTTCCATGCAGCAGCTGTAACTGGATCTCTGCCAGTACACACGAGGGGGTATCCAAGCCCTCTCGGCCACTCGTCTCCAAGCGATGGTCTTATCTTCTGTGGGCAACATTCTCCTGGACAAGGTCGTTTCACCATGGTCATATCAACGAAGCTCAGGGGTCTTCATGATGGCCCGTATCTTCAGGGGAATCAAGCCCCTTTGCAGAGCTCCTGTGCTCTGCCTCAAGCAGTGGGGGGGCCAAGGTCACCCCCTCTGCATTCCTTCGGAGCTTTTCAGCTCCTTTCTGCAGTGCTGTAGCACTTCAAGACTCTTTCAAGTAAGAGTTCATCCTCCTCCTCTCTCTTGGAAGTCTCAGAGGGGTTTGGGGTTTTGTTTCAGTTCTTACCCCAACTTTCTCTCTCTCTCTGTAGAGCCTAATTCTCTCTCTGCTGCTGGCTCTCTCTCGGCTCTCTCTTCCAGGAGTTCTCTCTGTGTTGCTGCATGCCTGTTGTTGCTCCTTGGTCTTATCTCTTCTGACTCTCTACCACTTTCTCCGTCCACTGCTGTTCTGCCGCTGTTTTTCAGTATCTTCTGCTGCGGCTCACAGTGGAGAAACATCCCCCGGCTCAGCTACGGACACTTAGCCCAGTCTTACAGTGTTCCAAGTCCCTGCAGCCCCCAACCGGGGCTGGGGGGGGCCCTCAGCCCCCTGTGGGGCTGGGCGCCCCTTCTCCTTGTGGCCTCAGAACATGGCCACCTCTCTCAACAACTACAACTACCTTTCTCTTCCGGTCTGCTTGTGATATGTTTATATTTTGCAAAAGCGCTCATCGGCTCAAAACTTCAAGGGTCACCACCCCCTGGGGATTTACCATTTTATAACTTCAGGGGGAAAACTCTTTCCCCTCACCACACTGTCTTACTGTTGAAAATGGAGACAAAGAAGGTGTTAAATACCTCAGCCTTTTCCTCATCTTTGATAACAATATTCCTGTCCATGTCCAGTAAAGAATGGCGGTTTTCCTTGCCCCTCCTTTTGCTATTGATGTATCTGTAGAAGGACTTTTTGTTATCCTTCACAGAGGTGGCAAGATTCAGTTCAAGTTGCGTCTTTGTCTCTCTAATTTTCTTTCTACATGACCTAACTATATTCCTAATTTCTTCCTGAGTAGTCAGCCCTTTTTTCCATAATCGGTAGGCTCTCTTCTTTACCCTAATTTCTTTCAAAATCTCCCTGTTCAGCCATACTGGTCATCTTCCCCGCTGGCTCACCTTTCGGGACACTGGGACAGCCTGCTCCTGTGCTTTCAAAACTTGCTCCTTGAAGTACGTCCATCCCTCCTGGACTCCTTTTTTTTCAAGGGTTGTTTCCCAGGGTACCCTAAAAATACTCCCCCTCCCCAGCCATATTATGTCTTCTAATTACTTTTTCTCCCTGAAACATCGGAGAAAACCAGAATACGGAGAAGTAGCTCAGTTTCAGGAGACTCTGAACAGTTCCTTGAAACATCAGTAAAAGAAAGATTGCAGAAGTTCAGTTCACACTTAGAAGCAGCACTTCCAAAATCTTTTCAGGGAGCAAGAAGTAGAATTCTTCTAATTGCTTTTGCTAGTCTTTACACTCTTACTTTGAAGACCATTTTCCTTTCTAAAGCTTCCTTGAAAATTGTTTCTCCAGCCTTTTCTTTTAACTGAAAAATTTGATTGCAGCATATGATAATGTATTGATTATACATCATAAAGTTTAAAGCTAGCTTTATGAAACTTTGCTATTTCATTTGGGGAGAGTTCAGGTTTTTTTAATTGTTGAATGTATTCCAAATTACTTTGTTAAATACTGAGAGTGCTTAGGGGATGAAACATATGAGAAGACAGAATCAAACTAGTGGATATACTAGTATATATATATGTATATATATACTCCTTGTATCATGTATAATGATTCACACTTGTGCAAAGCCAGTGTGGTGCTATTAAAACACTGACAGTATCTAAGTGTTTAGTACAAGGTTTCATTTATACTGTGAAATAAATATTTGCTGGAGACCAGCCCCAGAACTAGCTCAATCTCACACTGGCAAAACAAAGTTAGATCAAAGACTGTTTTTCCTGCTTTGTCAAAAGCATTTAAACACCTCCCCTTCATTGAACTAACCTTGCAACATGCAATTTTACACAAATTCATCTAAAATATATTTGGCACATGAAATAGGAGTCTTCTTATGCTTCTACTTCAAAATTTCTGCTTGTGCAGTATTTTTACAACTTTGAAAAGTGTTTTTGCGGTAATGAAAAAAATTAGGTTTTACAGCAATAATTTAATTTCTTGTGTGTTTTTACAGCTTTCTTTTTTTTCACTGTGTTCTTTTTTTATGCAGTTTAAAAGATCTTATCCAAAGTGAAGATGTGAAACCCAAGCTTCAGTACATCATGACTAACCCCTCCTTTTCTATGGTAACATGTCAAAGTGAAGACAGTGGAATAACCTGGGAGACCAGCTCGAGCAGATGTTCTACTCCCTGGACCTCAGAAACTAGTACCACTTCTGATCTTTACAGTATGGAAAGTTCACCAGTAGGTTCTCCTCCAGGAAAAGTTATCTTTGTTATGGATGAAGGTAAAATTGTTCGGAAAAGGACACGAAAATCTTCAAACAGGGTGCCGATGGCTACAAGCCGGAAGGGAGGCCAGAGCAATAAAAAACGTGACTCATCTGGAATGCAGAGGCAAGAACCAAGAACTGTTCTAGGAGATCTGCAGGCCTCTGTGTTGAATGTTGAGCAGGTAGAAGTGCAAGACACAGATGAAGAAATGCTGGACAACAAAGGGGATCTAGAGAACATCACAGAAGAGCCGGTAAAACGTGCTCCTATAAGATCAATATTTAGGGAGAGCAGACTGAGAAAAGTTGGTCCGATCCTCGGAGGACCAGTACAAGCTAGAATCCAGCTGTTCAACTCAATTTTTGGAGGGAGTGGTCCACTCCCTGAAACATCGGAGAAAACCAGAATACGGAGAAGTAGCTCAGTTTCAGGAGACTCTGAACAGTTCCTTGAAACATCAGTAAAAGAAAGATTGCAGAAGTTCAGTTCACACTTAGAAGCAACACGTCCAAAATCTTTTCAGGGAGCAAGAAGTAGAATTCTCGAAACACCATCAGAGAGAAGAAGGAAGCAAAGAGAGCAACTCATAGGACACACAAATCAAAGCTTTTCTTCACCAACATCACCTCTTGAAAAACATCTTACTAAGAAAGATGAAGTTTCATCTGAAAATATTCAGCCTATTAAAATGAAAGAAGGAACTTTTCAACATGAGGAAAGAAAAGACAGACAATCTCTTCTGGAGAGTGCAAATCAGATACCAGGACATTCCCTGAAGTCCTTCCCTCCTAAAGAAGCCAGGAATCAGCTAAGTCATTCACCTGTGGCCAAAACATCAGTTACAGAGCCAACAATCTCCAGGTCATTAGAGTCTGATGAGAAACAAGTACCACTTCCCTCAGCTGAAAATACAGACCAATCCATGCTGACAGCATCAGGTCATCTGGATGAACCAAAAAAGCAGGAATTTCAGCCCAATTCTGCAGATAGAAATACTCAGCATATTTTGCCTACAGTATCCATGTCAGAACATCTTGAGAGGGAAGGACAGAAGCCTTACTTACCTAGTGCTCCATCAGCTAAATCCAAATATTCCACTCTAACTGAAACAGGACAGGAAGATACTATTCCTCAGTCATCAGAAACTGCACAGTCTGAGTCTGAAAATGTGCTTTTACCATATTCTGGAGGTGAAACAGAGAAGCAAGAAATTAAGTGTCCCTTATCAACAACTGCACTGTCAGAATCTGAGAGTTCGAGTCTAATGCATTCTGCTGAAAGAAAAGAGGGTCAAGAGACCCCTCTCTCAGAAACTCAAAATATTCATCTGGAGAACCAAACAAAGTCCGAACAAGACTTTTCCTCATCCCTTCAGGAAACAGATGAGCAGGCAATTAAACTAAATCCACCAATTCCAGAAAATATAGATTCTAAATATTTTGGCATTTCATATCCTGTTAATACAGGAACAGAAGAAACTCAGAAAAATTCAGCTATAGATAAAGCAGTAGATTTCGGTCAGTCTGATTTTTCCATTGAAAAAACCAAACCAGCAGAAAGTGCACAAATGGAGATGGAACACCTAGATTTCTCATATTCCAGCAAAGAAATTGGGGAACCAGAGACAACACAGATGGAGACAGAGCATCTAGACTTCTCTTCTTCCAAGGGAAAAATAAAGGAATTGGAGGGTGCACAGCTGGAGATGGAGCATCCAGACTTTTCTTTTTCCAGGGAAGAAATGGAGGAACCAGCAAGTGGACAGCTGGAGACAGAACATCCAGATTTCTTATATTCCAGGGGAGACACAGAGGAATCAGAGTGTGCAGTACTGGAAACAGAATATCCAGAATTGCTTTTTTCCACAAAAGAAGCAAAGAAATCAGGGAGTTCACAACTGGAGACAAAACATCAAGAATTTTTTTTCAAGGATGAATCAAAAAAATCAGAGAGTGCACAGCTGGAGATGGAGCATCTAGACTTTTCTTTTTCCAGGGAAGAAATGGAGAAACCAGCAAGCACACAGCTGGAGACAGAACATCCAGATTCATCATATTTCACAGAAGAAATGGAGGAATCAGAGAGTGCACAGTTACAGAGGGAACATCCAGACTCTTCTTTTTCCAGGGAAGAAATGGAGAAATTGGAGAGTGCACAACTGGAAACAGAGCACCCAGATTTATCATATTGCACAGAAGAAATGGTGGAATCAGAGAGTGCACAGCTCAACATGGGTGATCCAGACTCTTCTTTAACTGAGGAAGTAGTGGAGGAATCAGAAAGTACACAGCTGGAAATGGAACATCAGGAATTTTTAATTTCCAGGCAAGAAACAGAAAAACAAACATCTGATCACTTTGATCTGGAACAGCCAGAATCTTATTTCCCTGAAGAAGGAGAATATGAAGAAAAAGAAGAGCTTGCTCTGCTACCTTCAGATTTATCATGTTTGATGAAGGAAGTGGAGAAAGAAAACACTACAGCACTCCAGTTGGTACATGCAGATATAATTGATTCCACCGGAAGAGCTGAGAAAGAGCAAACTGAGTATCTGGAAACAGCACCTTCAGATTTACCATATCCCATGAATAAAACAAAGCAGAAAGAATTGTTGCAAGCAGATCCAGACAATTCTCTTGATGCATATTTTAGTGACAAAGGAAAACCACAGCCTGTACAGCAGGATTCTCAACATGGAGGTAAACTGGATTCCAGTGACAAGGGAGTGCAAGGAGAAACTACTCAGTTTCAGCCAGAGCATCCAATTTGGTCGTATCCCACTGGAAAAGAAGAACAACATAAAACCTCACAACTGAGGGCAGAACAGCCAGAAACAACATACTCTCCTGGCAAAAGAGAACAGCAACATAAAACCTCACAACTGAGGGCAGAACAGCCAGAAACAACATACTCTCCTGGCAAAACAGAACAGCATCAAGTATTACAACCAAAGATGGAACAATCAGATTCTTCTTACTCCCAGGGAGAAACAGCACAGGAAGCTGTACGAAGAAACTTAGAGGGTCCAGAGCCAACATGTTTCATTAGTGAAGCAGAGCAACATGAAAATGTAGAACTAGTTTCGGAAAACAGGGATTTCTCATTTATCGCTGGAAAAGTAATGCAAAAAGGATTGGAGTCAGGCTTTCTGGAGTCACATTTGACTGACACAGTAAAGCCCTGGGAAATGACACATATGGAGCAGGAACAGCCTTTTCCCTCCTTTTCCACTGCTAGTACTCAACAACAAGAAACACCACCACTGAATGTGTCTAAGCAAGACGTATCATGTTCTGTTGGCAGAATGGAAAAAAAAGATACAGTACAAAGACAGCTGAAACAGCAGGAAAGAGATGAACAGGAAGCTGTGCTAATGGAAACAGAGCATTCAGATTTGTCAGAAAATTGGGGTAAAGAGATGACACAGGTCATAGACCAAAGTAATTTGGCACAGCAAGAAATAGCTCAAGCAGGGCTAGTGCATCCATCTTTGCCGTATTCTTTCAGTAAACAAATGCAAGAAGAAATGCAAACAGAGCCAGCATATCCAGAACAAACATCTTATGTAAGTATAGAAACACAGGAGGAAACAATGCAACGAAAATCAGAACAACCATTTCTTTCCTGTTTTATTGGAAAAACAGAACAACAAGAAATAGTACATCCAGAGCTGGAACAAATGTTTTTGCCATCTTCCAGTGGAAAAGAAGCTCCAATGGAAATGGAAATGAGTTCAGAATATCCAGATTTGTCATATTCTTTTTATGAAACTGAAGGAGAAAAAAAATTGAAAAATCCAACCTTACCAGTTCATTCAAAGCATCAAGAAGCTGAAGCAGTAGTGATGGAACATCCAGATTTTTCATGTGACAGTGGTGAGCCAAAACCAGGCAGCACTGTAGAGCAGGAGTCAGGGCATCCAGAGCTCTCATACTCCAAGGGAGAAATACAGCAACAATCAGAACATCTGGATTCACCAGGAACCCTGGGCAAAGCAGCGCAAGATGCAAGTATGGAAGTAGAATCTCACTGCCCAAATCTCCTATGTTCTGATGTCCAAAGAAATCAGCAAGAAACTTCACAGCTGGATTCAAAATATTCAAGCAAAGAACAAGAAACTCAAAAGTTTGATTCTAAACATCAAGAATTGCCTAAAGTGGCCAAAAAAAGAGTTTCTCCAGCAACTGCACAAATAGAGTTGAAACATCCAGAAACTGCACCATGGGAAATGAAGCATCCTGATTTGTTACATTCCACTGATGAGACAAACCAGCAAGAAGCAGCACCATTGGATCAGAAACACAGAAAACTTTCTGTTGGCAGAGAAAAGCAGCAGCAAGCCACAAAGCAACAGTTAGAACAAGAAAAGTTATCACATACTCCTGGTAAAATGGAGCATTTCAAACATGGCCAAGAGGGCTTGGAACAACCAGATTTATCATTTTCCATCGATAGGCCAGATGATGAAATGATGCCACCAGAGACAGAGCACACTGAAGTGATATCTCCTCTGTACAACACGGAGGTGCAACGAAGAGTACGACAAGAAATTGATCAAATTTACCCCTTTGGAAATGCGGAACACAAAATGGTTCAGCCAGAAGTGGAAATTTCACATTTGTCCCCTTCTGAATGTTCAACAGAAACAAAAATGGCAGAACCAGGGCAGGGGCAGCCTGACTTGCTTTACTCTGTTTTCAAAGTAGAGGGGCTGCAAACACTACAGCTGAAATCTGAGCACCCTAGTCTACCATGTTCCATTGACAAAGTGCAGGAAATGATCCAGCCAGGGTTGGAAGAGCCAGGTGCATTGTATGATCATGACAAAACGGAGCAAATTCCACCTTCACAGCTGGAGCTGGGCCACCCAGACTTGGCATCCCTAGCAGCTGAAGTGGGACAAGAAGGGGTAGAGCACACAGCTGTGGAATGCCCTAATGAGGGACAGTCCGCCAGCAGAGCAGAGCATCCACAAGCTGCCAAAGAGAGACAGGGAACTCTGGATTCATCATCTCATAGTGGAAAAGTGGAGCAAAGAGAAATGGTGAAAACAGACCCAAATCATCCTGATTTATCATATTCCTTTGCTAAAGCAAAACCTCAAGAAACTACACAACTGGCATCAGGAAAACCAGTTCTATTATCCTGGCCTGGTAAAACAGAGCAAGGACAGACTGCTCAAGAGGAGAAGCCACACTTCTTGCATTCTTACAAAAAAGCTGCACAAGGTGAGAAAGTACAGACAGAATTGAGACATCTAGAGTTATCTCATTCTGTTAGTGAGATAGAACAAGAAACTTTAAATGCAAAATCAAACCATTCAGATTTATCTGCTGGCAGATTAGAAGACCATGAAATCATACAGCCAGAGGAAGAAATAATGGATTTATCATGTTCGATTGGTGGAACACAGCAAACTCAAATGGCTGAAGAGGATTTGGAGTATCCAGACTTATTACATTCCACTGACACAGAACAGCAAGAGAAGATTCAGCCAGAGCAGGAACAAATGGGTGATTTTTCATCATCTTTCAGCAAAGAAGAACAATGCGAAGATGCAGGAATGCAGGCAAAACACCCTGAGTTTCAGTGCTCTATGGAGAAAAGAGAAGGACAGCAAAATTCCCAAGCAAAATCAGAATATGCAGATTTGTCCTTCTCTGTTGGCACAGCAGAACCTCATAAAACAACACAGCCAGAGTTGAAAGAACAGAGTTTGTTGTATCCTTTTTTACAAACAAAACCATCACAGGCTGGCTTACCAGAGTCTGAACATTCAGATGTCTTGGATGACATGAGCAAAGTACTGTGCACAAATTTGTCCCCGTCTATTAGTGAGGGAAAACAAAGTGCACAGCTGGAGGTCAAGCAGGAGAGGAGAAGTTATACATTACATCCAGAGGAAACAGTACAACTAAAATTGGAACAACCAATGTTTTCAAGTCCTCATGTCACAGAAGAGGAATCAACTATATCCCCACTGGAAGGGGAATTTCCAGACTTCTATTCCTCTGATAAAACAGAAAAACAGGACACTGCACAAGCAGGATTCATACCTTCTGTTATTTCACATTACACCAGAAAATCACAGCAGTTGCAACCAGAAGAACCAAAGTCAAAACATCCAGATTTGTCATGCTCTCTTGGCAAAGCAGAGACTTGTGGAATGAAGCCACCAGATTCATGGTACTCCTACAGTGAGTCAGAGCAACCACAGACTGCCCAGCTGGAGCATCCAGAGATACCATATTTCATGGGTGAAATAAAGCAGAGGGATGGGGCCCAACCTGAACTACCATGTATTAATTTGCAGTACTCTGATGTTGAAACTCAACCAGAAGCACCTGCTGTATCATATACCTTTGTCAGGACTGAGGAGCAGGGAACTGCACAACCAGACTTCAAACTATCAGATTTAAATCCTACTGACAAAGCAGAAAAGTGTGAAATGGCCCTGCTGAGAGCAGGACATTCTGAGAAGCAAGACACTGGGGCTACTTCATCTCTAACTACTCAGCTGGAAACTGAACAACAAGATTTATCATTTTCCACTGAGGAAGCAAAGAGAAAAAAAAGTCAATCTTATTCATCTCTTACTGAAAAAACAGCGTCTGTACCTTTGGGTGCCTCACATGCTGTTTCTGAAACAAACAAAGAAGGAAGCCCTAAGTCCTCATCTGTAACTGGAGGCCTGTCACCCAAACATTTAGATTTGTCTTACTCTTGCTGTAAAGCAGAGCATTCAGAAACTGCCCAGCCTGAGTCAGGGTCCTTTTTTCCGAGAAAAGAGGCAGAGAATACAAAAAGTCTTCTACATTTGCCTGTGGCTGCAAAGTCAGAGGCTGAACATAAAATTTTACCTGAAGCAGAGAGAGAACCAACTCCACATTACTTCCACACAGCTACACAATTAGAATCTGAACAATCAAATTTATCACATTCTACAGATAGAGCAGAAACTCTAGAAAGTCAGGATTACTTGACTGTACCTTCAAAATTGGATTCTGAACCTTCAGTTTCATTTTATTCAGGTGATGAAACATGTCAGAAAGAAATTCTACCTTATTCAAAACCAGACTCTGAATATTTGGTTCCCACATGGTCCCTTGCTGAACAAGAGAAGCAAAGTATGGAGCCACTTATTGCTCAGCCTGTGCAATCAGAGTGTAAACATGTAATTCCACCACATGATGAAAAACAATTGCAAAAAATTCAGCACAGTTTGCCTGAAACAGCAAGCTTGAAGACAGTGCAGTTAGAGAGTATGTCTCCAGTGCACACAGAAGATCAAGACAACCCAGAATCTTGTTTGCTGGACACAAAATATTTGTCACCAGAGCAGCTAAGAAGCTCCCCTAAATTCACTGGTGAGCAAGATGAGCAAGAAATGCAACCTGATGTGCAGACAGTGCCAAGGTCAGTCAGAGTCGGCCACAGGTCTGCCACAGAGTCAGAGGTGACTGCTGTAGCAGACCAGCAAGCAGAGTCAGAGTCATTTGTACTTTTTCATATGTTACCTGGAAAGTCAGAACCTGTAAGGTCAGTATCAGTGGCTTTTACTGATGATGAAGAGAAACAAAATATTCCATCATCTGTTTTTGATGTAGCAGGCATGCCTAGAAAGCAATCTAACATAGTTTCATGTGTTTATACTGAAGGAGAGCACAGACGTGAATTGCAACAATGTTTTGAAGACCAAAAGCATACAACCTTGGAGCATCCGGAAGTTATTTCATCAGATCTTCTTTGTGAAACTGTGAAACACAAAAATCAGCATTATTCTGGTGAAAAGGACAGGCTTTCTTCAGCAGAGATGCAGTCTGCTGGCTCTAGTTCTGATGAAAAGCAGAACCCAGATATTCCATCTTTTGGGCTAGCTAGCTGGCTGGTAGAAGAGGTGAAAGCTTGCTCAATTAGTCTGCTAAGGGCTGGAGATGTAGACAGGCAAGGAATTCAATTGTCTCCAGATGAAGCTTCTGATTTTGGGTCAAAACAATTCCCAGCTGAAAGTTGCACAGAACTTACAGTTGATGAGACTATAGAGAAAAAGGGACATACATTTAGAGTTTCTGAATCAGTGTCAAATGAATTTTCTCACAGGAAGTCCTCAGACACTAGTCCTGGAACACAAAGGTATGATTTACCATCTCAGGTAGGAGATAATCAAGGTCCAGATAACATTATGGAGTATGAAACTAGTACTGTAAAACCTACAAAAGTGGAAGTAATGCAACATCTGGAGATAGGCAAAGTGTCTGAAGTGCCTGAACATTACCAGAGAGGAGAAGAGGAAGAAGTGGAACATGCAAGTGCTGCAGCAGACAGTCAGTGTGTTCTGGAGACTACTGAACAGAAAGATCTATTTAATATAATTTCAGAAGGTTATGAAATACTCAATATTCATGCTCCTACACATGTTTCTTCTGTTGATCAAGAAGAAAGTAAACAGATGCCAGATAAATTAGAATACTTGGAAACAAATCCTTCGTTTAAAAGAAAATTAGCTGATGATGACCACAGAGCCCTAGCTTCTGGAAGAACCACAAAGATTTCAGAAGGCTCAGTGTGTGGAAAGACTGCAAGAGATGAAATACCAGAATTGGTCAAAAAAGATAATGTTGAGGAAACCGGAGAAACACAACAAGAAAATCCCTTTTTGCCAGAGAACAGTAATTATGCAGTGTTGGATCCTAATAATGGTACAGCTGATATGGATTATTTTGAAAAATATACATTGATTGATGACAAATCCCCAATTAAGCCACATTTTGAAAGACCAATTTCATTGTCTCCTGTGACAGAAGATCCCAATGAACCTGTCGAAGAAGGCAAATCTTTTAAAGAAAGCACTGAGGTAGATACTTTGGAAGAGTTTTCCTTACTTGAGGATTTGGATGAAGTCTTTTATGGTACCATGAAAGGAGAAAGCAAAATGCAGTCCTATGCAGATGCATCAAAACCTTTACCTCTGCAGAAATCAATTGATTCTAGCAGTAAAAGCATTACAAACATAGAAGATGAACGGAAGTCACCAGGGACCCCACTCTTTGACTCAGAAGAAGGAGTGCTAGAACGATCTCTCTTGTTCCCTACCACTGTTGCTGCAATTAATCCAGAGCTTCTAGAGGAGCCACCTGCTCTATCATTTTTATACAAGGACCTCTATGCAGAAGCAGTAGGAGAAAAGACAAAAGATGAGGCTCCCTCTGATGAGGAAAGTGGTAATTCTAATGCATCTTTCCCTAGTAGGAATTCAGACACGGATGATGGAACTGGAATGTATTTTGAAAAATATATTCTTAAAGATGAAATTCCAAATAAGGCCATAGGGCCTCAAAAAGATCAGACACCAGAGGATGAGTCCTTCAGTGGAGGAATTTTGAGCTGGAATTCAGAGAACAAGCAGCAGGAGGGATCTGGTTACGTTCAATGTGTCAAAACTGAGGTTCTGCCAGAAATGGGTGTTGTGAAGAGAGACAAAATCCAGGTTGACAGTGACATTCAAGCAACAATTTGTAAACCAATGCATGCCATTCCTTTTGGAAGCAGAACAATCCTTTCAGGTGCAAGAACTGATACCGCAGAACAAAGAGAAGAAGAAAATGCACCTGTAGAAACAACTGAGGAGTTGCCAGAGCATTCAAGTCAACAAGCATATAGTCAACTAGTGGATTATCAGGGAGCTGCATATCAAGAAGCTGGTAATAAGCAGGAAGAACAGCACAATATAGCAGCAGTTGCTCAAATGGAAAAATACATTCCATTTGTTGAAGACAGTGTAGATGATCAGTATACTCAGGAACACCTTTCCTGTGTCCCCACCATTCAGCAAATAGAGAATCCAGACTTTCAAAGAGAGGAGCAGCACCCTGATATTTATGAAGATCTCGCTGAGTCAATGGACTATGATGTGATTACGCAAGAAGAACTTTTGCAAGATGAAATATCATCCCAATTTACACATGAGGAGCTATTATTTGAAGACAGGGACTCTTTTGAGCATGCTGTTGGTAGTTATGAATTTGTTAATGAGCCAGAACAAAGAACACTTGTTGAGCTTGAAGATTCAGGTTTTGTGGTGATGTACCCTGAAAAATCTGCAACAAACATTCCTCAAGTTGAGAGCCCTCAAAGAGAAATGAAGAAAGCACAAGTAGACACATATTGTTACCACTGCAAATGCCCAATATCTGCTATTGACAAGCTTTTTGGGGAGCACACAGACCATGAAGTCACAACACTAGATGATGCTTCAACCAAGGTGAAGGTAAGAATTAATTTGGGTAAGAAAAAGAGCTAAGGAGGTTAATTTCTCCAGTCCTCTTGTGTAGTCAAGGGGAGAGGCTTTAAAGAGCAGTCTAGAAGCTAAGTTGCAGTATCTGTGAAATAAGTATGGCCAGTCTTTGTGAACGAAGATTTGGGAAAGGTCTTTACCCTTCGAGCCTGCGCAGTGGACTTTTTAGGTGAGACACAGTGTGCGCTGAGCTGAGCCCACCCTTTAATCCTAAGGTTCATCTGCCGGGGCCGAGCGAGCTTGGACGGTGGCAGTGAGGTCCTCAGGATGTAGGTTTGTTTAGAGTGACCTTCTCTTAGATGGATGGCCTTACAGGGCTGACGAGCTCCATCTACCCGGGGGAGTTTCCCTGACTGGGAATTGAACCTGGGCTGCAGTGGTGAGAGTGCTGCATCCTAACCACTAGACTACCAGGGGTCCCCCTATGAAATAAAAACTATTCCTAAACACCTATCAGAGATCTTGAAGGGAGACTATCTTATTAAGGTATTTTCTAGAGTCCTAGGCTTGCTAAGCTGGTATTCTTATTTGTTCAGAAGCTTAAATAGCCTTGTTTATATGCAGCTCTTAAGAGAATTTCCAACTTTCAGCCTGTGTAAGTTTGTTCTGGTTTGGATATGTGAGGGAAGAAACGAAAAAAATGTTTTTTCTGTTAAAAGAAAACTCAACTAACGGGAGCTCACTTCACTTGTAAAGGTACAGAAGCCTCCATATGTGGACACCACTATCATCATAAAGTATTCCCTGTCCCACTTACATGTGTTGATTGCTTGGAGATGTTATTCAAAGTACACAGTTTACACTACATAGTTTTGCCGAAATGCAACTTATTTTCTGTTCAGTTCATCTTCATCTTCAAGATGGCCCTAAACTGGAAAAGGACGTTTTACAAGGGCACACAGTGACCGGACAAGGGGTAATGGCTTTGAACTGAAAAAAGCAGGTTTAGATCAGACATTAGGAAGAAATTCTTCACTGTGAGAGTGGTGAGACACAGAAACAGATTGTCCCAAGAAGCTGTAGCTGCCCAATCCCTAGAAGTGTTCAGGATCAGGTTAGATGGGGCTTTGAGCAACCTGGTCTAGTGGAAAGTGTCCCTGCCCATGGCGGAGGGGGGTTAAAGCTAGGTGGTCTTTAAGGCCCCTTCCAACCCAAACCATTCATTGACCTCTGGCCAATATTTTAGCTATAGCACAGGTAAGAGTTTATCAGGTCCTACTTCTTTGCATTATCTCTAACCTGTACCACTCCAAAAGACAGATAAAATGCCCTCCATTTCAGTAACCTCATCCTTTGCTATCAATACTAGTGAAAACGCTTTTTGTGGAAAAATTTTTGTGGAAATTGCAGTTCTGCTTGTGAAAACAGCACACACATGACATCTCACTTCTCCCATGTCAAACCTGTTCATGTACAAGTATACAGATGTTCCAGCTATTTACGCTCACTCCTCTGAGGGGTGAGGTCTCTTTCTTGGCACGTGCTCATCTGACAGAAATACAGATTTTGTGTCATTTCACTGAAATTCCAGAACGGCTTATATTGGTGGTATTTATGTTATCTTTATGTCAATTCATATGCATAAAAGAGAAATCAAAAGTAGGAGGAGTCCATGTGACAGTTTGAAATATCAAGGTTTACAAACTATCTCCATGGTATGCAGATGTATGATATCTGAACTACTTTTTGTGTATGGCCATTCATGCTTGACTTAGCAGTGATAGTTAGCCACTAGTAAGTAATAAAGTCACAGACCCCAGCCATCCCTCAAATGTACCTGCATTACGACAAGTCAAGTTGCAAGCTGCAAATAAACATCCCATTATATCACTCCCTGGCTCTGGAGCATGGATATGAAGCCAATATTAAATCTGCCCATAGCACAGGCTTAGCTTCACATGATTTCTAACCCTCAGGGCTTAGGTTACTCAGAGACTGCATTTGGATGTTTCTTGTTACTTTTGTATAATTACTGAGAAAACATTAAGATAGCAAAATGCTTGTAGCCTGAATTTTTTGTTGCATGAGAACTGTAAGATCATAGCCTCACAGTAAATGAAATGAGCTATGGATGGCATCTGTCAGATTTTATGGGTTATCTTGACAAACAGAAATTTGTCTCCAAATTTTGGTGATTAGCCCTAAATATTTATGAAGTAAGCTTTTAATTTTACTGTCCAATGTGACATTTACAATTAACGAAAAGTCAAAAATGTTTGTTTTCTACAGATCTAGCCGTAACATTTTGCCATAATAAGAAGCTGTTACAAAAGGAAGCTAACATTTCTTTTAGATTTATGCCATCTAATTAAAACTAAGCATTTTTACAAATTGTGAATTGCACCTGAGCAGATGGACAGCTTGCTTTCATAAAAGGCCAAGAAGGACTACGAAAAAGTTCTGAGTTGTCTCTGATGCCTGTTGTCCCTTGGACTGCGTTCGTTTCCACATCTAATTCAACCAGTGATTTTGATACATTCTTGTTCATAGGAAATATCTTTAAAATTCTAATTTAAAAAAAGAAAACATGATACTGCATAATTTATCACCCTCATAATTACTCTTGCTATATTCCTTTTAATGGGCTTCTTCCTGTGATCTCTCCAGGACCCTCATGAGAGTCTAAGTACCCTCACTCTCAGCAAGCTGCATTGAAATTCATTATGTTCAAAAACTTGTAGAGATACTCAGCATCTTGTTGAACCGAATTCCCTTTTTTTTTGTTTAAAAACAGTTTCTATGACTGTTCTAGTTGCTTTTTCTGTGCTTGCAGCCAGAGTGACACTTGAACTTATTTATCAGTTGTTCCAAGGAACAATTGTTCCACGGCTAAAGGAAAATATTCACCTAAAATAAGTTCTGTGTAAAAGCTTTGTAAAATAACCTGCCTAAGTTTCGATTTTAAATTTCAGAATCATTTAAGTGAATTGCTGATAGCACTGGAAGAAAAGTCAATAAAGATCGAGGAGTTTGTGAGTGATATTGAATTGCGATTTAACTCAGTTGAGGTAAGTCCAGTGTTTTATCACACTTTCTCTCCCTCTACTTCTAAGATATGTTTGCCTTATTTTATAGCATCATTGCTTTCACCAAAACGGGCTGTTTCTCCAGTCCTCAAATTGATTTCTCCCACTGGAATGTGTTAACGTTACTGGAAGAAAAAGACTGCTTTTTTGCACATCATTGCAAAGTGAAATATGTAACTGTCAAGCACTGAAAGAAAAAGTTCCCTTAATTTTGTTTAAGCCTATAAAAACCTCATACTATGTCTTTATTTAGAATCCTGTGTGAAGCATATAAATTAGTTGCCCAGTGTCTTAAGTTCTGATTACCCAAGTCCTTAAGCCTTAAGAACTGTATTAATTTCAGTTGTAAGTATGAAGTTTTAGCTATTTTGTAGTCAGATTTCCTATCTCAGTGCTTAAATATGAAAGTTTAGTTTTAAACACTAACAGTAAAAAAAACCCTGTCATTGTTTTAAACGTATTTCTCTAGTGATATTTCTCACAGAGGAGTTTGATTGCAGAAATAAAATTATCTTATTTTCAGTATGCCAGAATGAATCTGGTGGATGGGTAATTGAGAATTTCTGTGTATTCATTAAATGTTATGATTTTATTCTGCAGATCGATTTACATCTGTTTTTATTTTGCAGGAAAATTGTAAGAAAAATGCAGACTTATTGGAAAAGCAGAATGAAGAGATGCTTAAGAAAATGGTAGCACAATATGATGAGAAATCAGAGAACTTTGAGGAAGTGAAGAAAATGAAAATGGAGTACCTGTATGAGCAGATGGTTAATTTCCAGCAAACTGTTGATTCAGCAAAGGAGACTTTGGAGACAACAGTTAAAGAAGTGGATGAAGTGGATGGATTTGTTTTCCTAAACGTAAGTAAAAATGGCTTTCATGCTGTAGTTTTTATAATGTTAGTTAGGGAAGGAGTTCTGTATTTAGGCTGGCAATGAGTTATTTACCTTTTTGTTTTTTTTAAAGTTAGCGAAATCCTGCTAGCTCAGCTATTCCACTCTGAAACTGCTGGATCATTTGCATTTGTTGTGGGAATTCTCAGAGAGAATTGCAGAGACGATGCACAAGATGAAAATGTGACATGTTATTAAAATGGTTCTCATTTGTTTTGTAAAGAGGAGGTAAAAAGACAGTTTGATAATTTTTCTAGAATTAATTATTTACTGAGGAATAAAAAATGTTACAGGATTTAGGTATTTTACTGTATAAAAATAAAATACGTATTTTATTTTGTCTAATAACAGCAACAAAGCGATTTCTGAAATGAGAAAAGTATCTGAAGTAGAATTGTTTCTGGGTTGTTGGGTTTCTTTGTTTGGTTGTTGTTGTTTTTGGATTTTACAATAAGCAGACACAGACAGTATTTATGCACTTAAATTGCTTAGGCTGTGGTAAATATTTACTGCTGAAAAGCAGCGCGAGGCTGTGTGGTACTTGGTTGCTGGCTGGGGTGAAACCACAACAATGGGGTTGGCTTAGGGATATGCATCTGAAGTGCTTGTCTATGATGGTACTTTCTAGGTGTAAAAAACATCTCCAGTGAATCTGCAGGACTGGATCTACCTAGCTTGTACAGTCTACAGTCATTAGTCTTAAACTTTATTCACAGGGTGTTGCAGGTCCTGGGTCCTCCAATACTGTTCTTGTGCTGCAAGACTTGTCCATAAGTGAGCCATGGTACTTTCTCTTCTACAAAAGTATATCTAGTTACACAAGTGAAAATACTCTACAAGTATTAACAATCTTGAAGAGGATGGATTTTCTGGGATAATAAACTCCTGTTATGGAATGAGCATGTAGTCTAGAAGTTGCAGTGAAACTATCCTGGGATGCTAGAAATAAAAAGGTCAAATTACTGTCTAAAGACTGATCATTCATGCAAAATAAACCACCTTCCAAATGCAAGAACCCAGCCCATATATGCTCTGGCAATTATAGAAATGATGGACCAATATTTGGCTTTCTTCCCTGCTCCAAGCTGCACTATGTCCTGTAATCAAGTGAATATTGTGGTAGATGGGCTATTATGGAATGGACAAAAAATACGGATTATTTTCCTGACATTTGTGAGGTATGGGATCAGTGCTTTGGCAAAAAGACAGCTTTGTGATCTGTAATTTTTTTCTGGGGTGTGAAAATCATTGGATTCCCTGCTCCTTTCTGTCAGTGATAACAGACAAGAACTTTTTTGTCCTCATGCCAGGAAACATTAGCTCCAGATTCATGGAGCATGGGCTAAACTCTCACTCTAAAAGTGAAAATCTCACCCAACTTCTAGTAATAAGAAGCTATGAGGCAGATTTTAGCCAGAATTAGAATTTAACTGTTCTTACTGTGCGAGTGATTTTTTTCTCTAAAAGCCTTCATTTAAAAGAGTACTTGACTATGCTCCAGTCTTTAAACCTAGGTTTTGAATACTGACCCCACAGGCACTTAAAACAAGATTTATACTCTAATACCCTGCTGAGTCAGAGCTTTGAAATGAAATATTCCTAAAGAAATAAATCTCCTGCTAGTGTGAACGCACAGCATTCCAAGCAGCATCAAGTCAATAAAGCCATGTGTATTTTATGTCCAAAGAGGGTAGAAAGACTGTTAGATGATTGGCTTTTCAACATTTTGGTGGTTTTGAAAACTATTAATACTTTTTTTTTCCTCTTCTAGTCATGTAAAGAGTTGAATACAAGGTATATGAAATATGGGTTAAGTGCACTGTAGTGAGTACTAGGCCTAGCATGCTGGATGTTTCATTTAGTATTTGCAAGCTTTGAAAACACACTGCTAATATTCAGAGCTACTTTTATAAACCTTGAAAATAATGAAATTAAGACCAGAGGTTTTGTACTTGTTGCTGTAACTGAGTGGTTTTCAAGTATTTTGCACACGTTCTGTAAGACATTAGTTAAACAAATAGCACTGTAAAACATCAGCTCAATTTTAAATCTCTACCCAGACATCTGTAAATTGATGTTCCTTGTAGTTATTATTATACACACATACACTAAAAACCATTTTAACCCTGGTTGCATCTGTTAGACATCACTGGTATATTCCTTTTTTTCAGTAGTCTGGTTCTGTGTCGCTTGGTCTCTGAAAGATTATAATACGAAGCATCACTTAGATGTTGTTGGACTATGCTTCTGAACACAGTTCCAGAAAAAAAAATGAAATTAAGTAGATTTCAAAACATTACTAGGAGACTATAGGCTGATGTTTTCCCATGCCTCTTCACTGGCGCTGCCTGATGCAGGGTGTGTCATAGGACTGGTGCCTCATCACGGCTGCATCACAGTCTACCTGCACATACCAGTAAATGCACATAATCACAAACAGTTCTCTGCCATGTGGGATTTTCTCAAGGCAGTCATTTTGATGAGTTTCATCCTCAATGAGAAAAATGTTCAATTATAAGCCCATATTCCTCAAATAAATTTTCCAGGGTGAACTAAAAATATTCAGAGTGGTTGGCTGCAGGCTTGTCCTATGCAAGTCCTCAAAACTGCGTTGCCCACCCCACCACCCCGATCTTCCCAAAAGGCCTGGGCATTGTGCAGTGCGTATCAAACATACCCTTGCCAGTGCTTCCTCAGCCATCGCAGTGGTATGTGTGCTGACACAGACTGGGATATAACAGTGACACCAGGGTTTCAGTGTGCGGTCAAATTACAACCCCAGGAGAGTGATTTGAAAAGAATGTGCCAAACACCCCTTCAAGGTTTCCAATTATCTTTAGAACTAGGACTATAAATTTGGACTCACTTCTTGCACATGAAACTGTTTGGCCACATATCTGCATTTAGTTTATCGCAGGTTAAATAAGACAAAACAGTTTTCCAAGGCTTTATCTCCACTTATCTCTATTTGTTTACTTACACAATAAACTTAAAACTTATTCTGTTTTGTGCATGAGCTTGCTGTTATTTTACTTTGATAGTACCTGACTAGCTAAGAAAAGGTTAAGAACAAGCCTGTTTAACAATGCATGGTTTTTTAAAGAAAGTGTATTTTATATTTGTTGTGCTTCGTTTAAATTATGCATAATGAACTACTTCAGTGACTAAAAAAAATGCAGGAGAGAAAAATAAAATTCAGTTGCCTTAAAAAAAATGCTTTCATTTTCTTGGAGCTACTTCTGTCCCAGAATTAAAAATATGTTGGGTTTTTTTTTCCTGTAATGAACTCAGCAAATACAGGCTAATTAAGTGGAATCTATCTTCCCTATCATGTTTTTTTGACTTGCCACAAGCAGCTGCTTTATGTTGCATCTTTGGAGTCAGCTGCTGAAGTTAGCTCTAAGGTTTGTAACCTTTAAAGGCACTGCATTAGCAAGCCCAAACCCTTGTACTCTTGGGAGTCTTTCTGTGAACTTCAAATCTTCATATTCTCATGGATTAAGTGTACACAGACCATGTGCACTCTGACTGTGCTCCTGATCTGAAATTGCAGCATGGTCTAAAAGTTCAAAAGCAGGGAAACAGTTTCTCCATGCATGTTGTCCTCAAGTTCATGGGAATTTTTTACAGAAGCATGTCACATGGTCTTTGCTTCTGGCCTTTGGAAAACTATGCAGTGACACAAATGATTTATATGTTTTCTTCCAAATAGGTTACTTTCTGCAATGGATACTACCCTCTCTTTAGAGAAGGTACCCAGTGCTTTTTCACTGTTTGAGCACTATGCAGACAGTCCAGGACAAAGCAACCAACAGTCCTTACAACATGTTGCTGGTAAGAATCTCTAAATACCATTTTTACAAAAGCTAACAGTTTGGCAATGCTTTGGACATTTTAAGAATCTAAAACCAGAATCTATTTGAGAAGTATAAATTTGAAAACCATGTAAATAGGAATCAGAGTTGAATGTAAAATGAACTTTAATTATGCACAAGTGTTTGGTTTATAGTAGGTACAGTAAGATGAGCAACAGAGACAGAAGTGCTGAACTGGGGGATTCTTGCATCACTTCAAACATTTGTACCTCAGATTAGTTGAAGGTCTTGATCTGTAAATCTCCCAGGGCTAAAGAAATTGGTCTTCCTTGCAGACAGGGACAGAAGAAGCAACTGAATGATATCCTGAGCTCTATTCTTCTAAGGGTGGCAGCCCCACCATGCCTGGTATGGGGAAGAGGGTATGGGGCTGGTTGATGGCTGAGGTCCCCGAACTTGTGACAAAAGAATGAAGGCACCTGAAATCCCCAAGGGATGTGAAGAGAAAGTGGTTAACTATAGCTGGAAACAGCAACGGCTTGTCAGGGTAGTAGTGAAAATTGCATGTGATATTTCATGTCCTGTAAAAAGCTTGTCTGTGTGGACTTTCTGCTCTATCTGGATATATAAGTATATTATTTAGATCTGGACAGCTATCAGTGAAGATCTTGTCAGCACCAATTTGTGGATTCGTCTTCTTCATAATGGAACTCACTCAATTTCTTTTTCAAGGGAACATTTGTTTAGAACCTTGCATCTCGCTGTCGTGTTTTGGGGCCTCCCATTCACCATTCACATGCACCACTGCCATCATAGTCACTCCCTGGCTTTTGAAGCAAAGCCTCTTTCTCATGTGTTTGGTCCCTGAGCACTGAAACTAGAGCATCAAATTCCCTAAGGTGCTTTGATTCCTGGCTGAATTTTCAGGTGACTAATGGGACATTGGAGAAATGCTGCTTCGTGGAGACTCTCCAGCGTCTAGTAAGGTTGAGTGCACTTAGCAGTGTTATCATAGAAAGATTGTCTCTCTTCTCCACACCACTACCTTTATTAGACCTAGAAGAACTTGAATATATCTTAGACCTTAAAATCCTCATCAGATTTGTATGAATTTGTCTGTGGCATTGGAAGCTTCTCAGGTGAATTTGATTTGGAATTGAATAGCTTGAATACTTAATTTATCACATACTGGAGACTTTTGTCAGCCACTCTAAGTATTTTATTTGACTGAAGCCATATGATGAAATACATATGAATTTTCTCCAATCCATGTATTTTTCCTTCAGAAAGTATGGTGTTTTACTGAACAATTTCATAAAACCTAATTTTCACCTCTTCAGAAACCTATTTCCTTCAAAATGCCTTCTATTTCCAAATTTTCCATATTCACTAGTGCAAAGCTGTTTTCCCTCAAATTCTTCCTCCTTTCACGTAAGCCATCCCCATCCACAAATGCATTAGCATAAAATGCATGCTCTTGGGCATATTGGAACCCAGGTTCTGCCACAAGAAGAGTGGGAATAATTTAAAAATTTTAAAATTATCATTTCCAAAGCCATCTGGTAAGGCAAGGACCTTTGCTGATTGTAAAACTCTTCCAATAGAGTCACAGAGGAATGTAACTGTTCTCCTTTTTCAAGTCCACAAAGACAAGGGAGTGTTATTTCTCATTACATCATAAAACATTTGGGATTATTATTTTTCTTGCAGGGGCTGTGGGGATTAGGTAGCAAGAAGGAAAACTTCCTTACTCCACAGCACTTCAATGAAAATTGAACTGAAGAGAATATTTCCCACTTTTCTGTTGAAAAATATCATTTATTCAAACTTGTGTTGCAAATATTTTTTTATTAAAATACACTATAAAAGGGACCAGTACTTTGACAACACATAAATGTTCTGTTTGTAAAGAGAATAGTTCAACCTCTTGCTTTGAGATTGCTTTCTTTCAAATTGTTTGGTATTATGCAAAAGGAAATTAAAAATCAAATGTTTCTCAATGTTGCTGAACTGAATTTTGATCTGTCATTCTTTTTCCTTTTTTTTTTCAGAACTTTCATTCAGTAAACTAGCCTCTGTTTAGATTTGGCATAATAATAAATCTTGCAACTGTGAGGTTTCTGTGATCATAAATAGTGGTTTCTAGGCAAAATCATGAGGAAAAAAACTGGTTTCCCCATTATGTCCATTGAAAGGAAGTATTTTCCTAAGGACGATAAATTTTTTAATTGCCAACTCTAGTTACAGTCAAAAGACAAAATGAGGATTGTTTTTAGCAATGAGAAGGATAATTTTTTTTTCAATGGGCAGCAGATGTAATCCTACTGTACTGGTAGCTCTCTGTATAAGTGATAAGGAAACAGCCAGCATCTGCATTTGCCTTGTTCATGCCACAGGGGATCATCATCATTACTGTGGAGATAACTGGAAAGAAAGCAAAAGCTTTCTGCTGAGATTTTAAGAGAATTCATGCAGTATGGAAATTTACTGGGTGAAGAAATAGAACCATGTATTTTCATTCCCTGCAATCATTTTAACAATTAACATCTTTTGGGGCTTTTTGCTTCTTTCTTTCCCCTCTCTCTCTTTTAAGACATAATCACAGAGAGGAACAATATCTCATCTGGGGTGGATCTGTGTCAATCAGGAGACAAAGTTTATGTTAAATCTGGGGAGCCTTGAAAGTCTTCGAAGCACTCTTTGTGAAGAATGATACTGGTTGTCCTATGGGGTTCAAGTGCTTTGGCAGAGTTCAGATTCACCTGCACGCCAAGGATTCTCGGTCCCTTGGGTCTGTGGAAAAAATGACTATGCCAGGAAGAAGTGCTGAGTTGTGCATGTGCTGTAGGAGTCCACCTCAGGGCAGGGGTTGACCCAAGGCTTCAGGGAGCCTCGTGCTCCCCAGTGCTGTTAAGAGTCTTCCTCTACCTAAAGCACATTCCTGCTGCTGTCAATATCTGTAATACTGACATACTGCATCAATCCCTTCCTAGTGTGCCAGGTCCTTTCCCCTGCCCACATTTCTGGGATCAGTTCATACATCTGTCTCTGGAGGAGGGTGTGGGCACACACTTTATGCTGGGTTTGGGTGGTCCCAGTACTAGGACTAGATCTTATTTTGTCCAGACTGTGAGAGAAATGGAAAGCTCTCAGTGTTGAGCAGATACTTTTTTCTGTTCCTAGTTTAGGAGGACCTGTTGTTCTAAAATTGCACCAGTATTCTATATTTCCTGCTGTACTTGCCCTGTGGAAATAAGCCATCTGAATGAAAATAAGCAACTGGGTTGCCTCACAAATCTTTAGGTAATGTGGCTGAAAACACAGGGGCATGTATAACAATGGGAAACTTTCCTCTCAGTCCCACAGACACCGAATGTAGTACCCCAGGAGCCAAACTCAGCCACCAGCACCTCCATTGCTGTCTACTGGTCTGTGAATGATGGGGATGCCATCGACTGCTTCCAGGTCTATTGCATGGAGGAGCTGCAAGCCAGCAAAGATGCAGGGGGTGCGTAAAGTCTTGTCTTCTCAATTGCATGAGTTCTTTCTGCCCTGGTCTGGGATAAACGGACGGGGATATGAGCTGCAGGGGCTTGAAAAGGACACAGAAAGAAAAGCGGCTGTGAAGACATCATGTGTAGGACTAAGGATGGGCAATGATGTTTCTCCTCTTCCCCTTTGTCCTCCAAAATGCAAGATAAATATCATGGTCTGTAAAGTGAAGGGCAGTTGTTTTCACATGTTGAGATGCCCTTTTACAAAATGGCTTGACCTCCAGGGAGAATGTGTTCATGTTGCCTCTGGATACTCATGGGGACTGCAGATATGTCTCCCAAGGGGACAGCCTTCATTAGGTTTTCAGGGCCCTGCACGTGCTTCAGAAATATGTATTCACTAAAAAAGCAGCAGGAAAAGGTAATCAGTATTTCCACATATAGATGAAGATTTTTTTCAAAATATTTCAAATGTTAAATGTGAAATTGAATAGAAGGAATTGAAATGTTTGTTCATTAAAAAGTTCAGACTGATCATAAAGTCACCTTTAGCAACCAAGCTCTGCACAAATCCATGTGTGCATGTGTGTACAGGCTAACAGATGCTAAGGACTTTTTACAATAGGTAATTTATAGCTAAGTCCTATATAGTTCATTATGAGAAATTATTATGTTATAGAGCCTGTTATAAACCAGGGTTGTTAACTGCTGATTGTGCATCCCAAACTTGCACTCTAGTCCTCAGTAGGACTGGGGACCATAATCTCCTCTTGCCATCAATGTCGTTTGTGTACATTCAGTTCAAAGGCACATCAAAAACTTTCTGTCAGAATAAAGTTAGTGTAAGATATGGAGAACTCAGCTACTAATGCTTTCTGGATTTTCTTAATTGACTGTTTTTAATATGTTGGTTGAGAGGCTGAACTGTAAGCCCTACCAGTGCAACACGAGTTGTGATGTTCCATACTTGTGTGTGTTTCTCTTAGCCCTAGTGGAAGAGTACAGAGTGACAGTGAAAGAGAGTCACTGCATTTTGGAGGACCTGGAGCCAGATCACTGCTACAGTGTGTGGGTCATGGCCGTGAATGGCACAGGCTGTAGCTTACCCAGTGAAAAAGCCATTTTTAAAACAGGTATGTATTTATTTTGGCATTTGATTATTATTTTGACATTTGATTATTATGAGCCTCAGGTTCTCAGACAAATTCTAGTCCTTAGTGTTATTGAAACAAAAGAATGCTTCATTCAGCCCATCTGGCAGAGAGCAGGCAGCTCACAGTCATTTCCCTTTTGCTAAGACGATAGAGGCATAATTGCTCCTGAGAGGAAACTTCAAGGCATTCAGTTTTGAAGATGTTTCTGGTCTCAGGCCATATGGCTGGGGCACTGGGGCAACACATTATGTATTTCTCTTCAATTGTGTGGCAGTGCTCCAGGGAAGTTCTGGGAAAGCCACCTGCCTGTACCCTGCTGATGCTCCTTTTTCTGCACACAGTTGAGAAGATGGTTGTGTGTTTTACCTCTCTGCCATCCTCCTGAATACATCTATGTTGCATTGATTTAAGTTATTAATTTTGCAAGGGAAGGCCTGATTTACCAAGGTTACATGCTGTGTCTTGCTCAGTGGGACACAAATCTCAAGGGTGGCTGAGAGGCTCTGCTGTTGTTTAAACAATATAAATTAAGATGAGTAATTAGATGAGTATTTCTTATGAGCTTCACTTGACTGATTCACTTTTCTGAGCATTAATTTCTTTAATAATTTGTATTGACAAAACTATTCTTCTTAAATTACGAACAAGGTAAAGCATCCTTGTATCTGAGGCCTTCATGACAGACAATTTTTTCAGTGCTACAGGATAAAAGCAATTATTCCATTCTTGCAGTCACAAATACAGGGAAGGATATTTAACAATTTCATAATGAAAAAAATTCTGAGAGTATTGTTGAAATCACTTGACAGCACCCACAGCTTCAAGCTGTTTGCTTAATTTACTAGACTTCAAATTTGTTGATAATTCTCTTTAATACTTAATTTGTGATTCATATTTTAAGAAAGTTTATTTTTTTGATAATTCAAAGTGGAAATTCAAATTTTATGGCCTCAACAATGCAATTGTGAATATGGTGTAGACTTTCTGCCCAAATAATGATGAGTTGTTGCTATTAGCTAATAAATTATGATTTTTAAAAAAGGTTTCCACCTCTCTGAAGCCATTATTTTTAAGAACTCTCTTTGTCTTTTGGCATCACAATCACTATACTTTTTCCCAAAATGGAAGCCTTCTAAAAAAAAGTTAATTTCCATGAGTCTTTAATTGCTTCCTTTGGCCTGTTTCTTTAAGAAAACAAATAAACTAGATAAATATGGGCTTATTAAACACTTTTTCTCAAAGCCAAATTGAACTCCTTCTGGAGTGCACTGAACCCCAGATGGACCTGTGGGGACACTGCTGAACACTAACTGATACAAAATTGCTGCATCTCCTCAGCAATAAATCCAGAAAGATAAGCACCAGTAATGGAAAACAGTCCTTCGAAAGGAGTCCAGCTGCTTTGATATAAAGAAAAAATATTTCAATTCTTCAAGTAGCCCGATGAACTCAGAAGCAAGAATTTAGAGTTCATTTTTAGTAATTGAGATTAAAAGTTGGCACATAGAAGAAGACAATTTGCTGGTATATGCAGGTACGGGAAAACACACAGCAATACTTGAACAAAGCTGTGACTCTTCCAGGTGTTGAGAATCCTCACAAAGTTTCTCTGTTGGCATTGTACCCGTGGAGGTGACAGTGGGTCTGGGAAGTTTTGGGCAATGCAGGGATTGCTGCTGAGGCATTCCCCCAGCACCTCCTGGCTCGTGCTCCTCCACTTCCCAAACTCACAGCTTGTCTTTCCCCACACTGAGGAACATCCTGTTTCCAAGCAGTATTTTTTGTGAGGGAATGATGCTGAAGGCAGGAAGAATCCCTCTACCCTCCAACCCCTCCCCTACAACTGATCTCCTCATGAAGGCTCTTCGCCATCCTAAAGACATAAAAGTGAGCCTACCTTCTGCTGTTGCTCAAAACCCGTGTGATTCTCAGGTTGTTTGGCTCTTTCCCTCTTACAAAAACACTTAAATGAATTTCGAAATATTATGATGAAATGAGATATGCATTCCAGCTGCAGCTAATTTGTTAAAAAAAAATCCCAGAAGCACAGTAACATCTTTTTCTGTATGCTCATTCCAGTTAATCTTTAGATGGATATTTTCAAATTAAAATAAAAAAAGAGCTTCATGTCTTGTAACATGCTGTTTACACATACATAAATGTGGGTATACATGTGAGTTGCTGAATGCAGGTATTAGGGAATTCAGCTATTAATTTTTCATTCTTTAGGAACGGATGCATTTAGAAACAGATGATAATTAAATGTATCTGAGGAGAACAAAGGAACTATTGCTAAGGGAGCTACAAAGAGGTATTAGCAGATGAGACTCTGAACTACTAGCCTTCTGATTTTCACTACCCAGGAAATTGTTACATACTTCTGGGTGTTTTTCTTTCCTTTTCTACTAACAACAAATTATTTTTCTTAAAAGACAGAATGCATCTAGAATGTTTGTTGCAGTTCTATTAGATTATCTTGTCATAAAATCGTCTAATCTCTACTTTTGTCTTAAGTCTCCTATTTGGAACCTTGTGTCTTTAAAAGTAAAATGACTTATTATGACCTTTTTTTTTTTTAATAATAACCTTTCTTTCAGAATTGGTATTAAGACTGTTTATGTGAGTTTCAAAACAGGTCGTAAGGTGTTTTAAGTTAATATCCCAGAAAGCAAAAAAACAAGAGAATACAACTGATCCATTCTCATCTCACAATGATGAATGTGCAATTTCACACAATAGCTTTTGATTACTTGCATCTAGTGCACTATTTTACATTCCATTTTCTGTCTTGCAGTTGGCCCTGTAGTTCTTAAACTGAGTCTCTAAAAAGGAGAAATTACAGGACCAAATTTTAGCTTTTCAAAAATAACCAAGACACAATTAAACAGAAAGTCAGCATTTCCCTGCAGCAGTACATTTTTTTCTGATGCAACTCTTGCAGTCACTGCTGAGGACAGGATTGAGGTGATGCAGGGGGAGCCGTAGGCAGTGCTGCCTCTGTGCTCTGCTTCTTGGAGATTGGCAGAAATTAGGAAAACATGCTTAAGGAAAGGCATAAAAATTTAAACTGCCTTTCTAACGATGTGTAGAAACGCACAGATCTTCACAGGGACTTTCCCAGCATGTTTATATTTTTTACCTGTAATGTACCCCTCTGCTATTGACACACAAGAAAAAGATGGATGGGAAAATGGATGGGGAAAATTAACTATTAACTATCCTGTGGGTATTCAAGGAGCTGACTCTTGCTTTCCCTTGCAAACATTCCCCTCCAGCCGCTGGCACCCTCTTCGGAGTACAGCTAACGTGTTCTTGTGTCCCCCAGCACCCGCTGTCCCCACCATCAAGGCCGAGGACTGCACTGTGTGTTGGGACACAGCCACTGTCCGCTGGCGTGCCGGCTCCGTGTCAGCGGAGTCCTTCATCCTGGAGTACTGCCGACAGCACTCGCCGGAAGGAGAAGGTCTCAGGTCAGTGCCGCGGTCACAAAAACCCCTTGGTCAGATTAGGCAGCCGCTGATGACCGTCCCCCAGGCCATGGTCCGTTACGCAAGAGATTATTCTGCCTTCAGCCACGCGAGGAAGAAATCTGCTTCTGTGTGCTGAGGAATTTAAAGGACAGACGCTAATCCGTGAGATTAGGCTGAGACACAAAATACTTCCTTTTTATTCCGCTTAACTGGACAATCCCTTTCGGTTGGGGCCAAAACCCCGGAGATGCTGTGCTGTTTCCAATCAGCTAGAAATTTTAGGGCTATGCTGGCCGGGGAAGCAATCGCTGACCCGCAGCTGCTGGAGCCCCGGGGCAGGGCAGAGGAGGGCAGCTCAGCTCCATGGAGAGTCGTGTGATGGGATAGCCTGGACCGGTTTGCTCTCTGCTTTGTGGAGAACAACGTAGGAGTCACCTCCGGGCTTAGCAAGGGTGATACGGATGTCCCAGTAATATTGGTGACCCATCTGTGCTGTCTGGATGTGCATGCAGATGCCCCCTCAAAGCACAGATGAGCTCAGCCCTGCCACGCTGTGCAGGCGTGCCACAGGGATCTGAGAGTAGCTTTGAAATTCGAGGTAGTGTCTGTTTATGCCAGACTCTCTCTGGTTTCCCCAGCCTGTGCTGCATAGAGGAGAGGGTGAGGAGGAATGTAGGCACCACTGAGCCATGAAATAGTGCACTGTTGAAATGCAGAGAAAAATATCCTAGAATCATAGAATCCTAGAATAGCCTGGGTCAGAAGGGACCTTAAAGATCATAAAGTTCCAACCCCTCTGCTGTGGACAGGGAAATATGTTATTGACTGTATGTTCCTGGGGCCTGGGGTTTTTGTTTGTTTGCTTTCTTTAAACAGTGACAATATTTCAGGAACAGTTGCAAAGGTCTGAGAAGTTTTGGGAAGGGGAGAGGGGTGACTGGCCACAGGACCCTGTGGAAGAGCCTCAGCTCAGTTGAGCTTGTCTTCACTTCCTGAGGAGCCTGAGTAAGGTCTTCACCTAGGGGTTAATTCATGTGGCCATTATGGAGATGTGGCAGAGAGGGAAGAGCCTCAGTCCCTGCAGTCAAAATTACTTAACTGGACTGAAGAGTTTACAGGTTTGTAGTAATGTACAACAGTGAAATTGTGCATGCCTTACGCCTTACAAAAAGTAGGCTGAAAACTGAAATAAAATTTCTCTGTGGGTAGAAGACTTCTTTTCATGCAGTACCATTGTGCTGCATTAATGCAACCAAAAAGAAGTCTTCTCCAGCTCTCCTGCCTCTTGGAGACCAACTGTGACCTGCTCTGCTTCATACATATTTCATGAGGCCATCAGGTTCCTGTCAGCCTGCTAAAGTTGCTGTTGTTCAGGGATCACAGAATATGCTGAGTTGGAAGGGACCGACAAGTGTTATCAGGTCCAGCTCCTGCTTCTGAACAGAACCATCCCCAAGAGTCACAACATGTGCCTGACAGTATCATTGAAACACTTCTTGAACTCTTTCAGGCTTGGTGCTGTGACCACTTCCCTGGAGAGCCTGTTCCAGTGGCCAACCACCCTCTGGGTGAAGAATCTTTTTCTAATGTCTAACCTAAACCTCTCCTGACAAAACTTCAGGCCATTCCCTTGGATTCTGTCACTGGTCACCACAGAGAAGATATCAGTGCCTGCCCCTCTTCCTCTCACAAGGAAGTTGTAGATTACCATGGGTCTCCCTTCAGTCTTCTCCTCTTCAGTCTGAACACACTAAGCCGCTGCTCCTCATGCGGCTTCCCCTCAAGGCCCTTCACCATATTTATTGTCCTCCTTTGAACACTCTCTAAGAGCTCAATATCTTTCCTATATTGTGGTGCCCAAAACTGCACATAATATTCAAGGTGAGGCCGCTCCAGTGCAGAGCAGAGCGGAACAATCCCCTCCCTCGACTGGCTGGCAATGCTTTGCCTGATGCCCCCCAGGACACAGGTGGTCCTCCTGGCTGCCAGGGCACTGCTGACTCATATCCAACTTGCCACTGACCAAAAGCCCCAGGTCCCTTTCCATGGCACTACTTTCCAGCATCTCATTCCCCAGTCTGTACGTGCATCTAGGGTTGCCCCATCCAACGTGCAAAATCCAGCACTTTCCCTTGTTGAACTTCATGTGGTTGGTGATTACCCAGTCCTCTAATTTGTCGAGGTCTCTCTCCCAGTTTTGTGTCATCTGCAAACATGCTTAGTATCCCTTCCAGTCCTGTGTCCAAGTCACTTATGAAGATGTTGAAGAGAACAGGGCCTACAAAAATGTAACTGCTCCCAAAACCTGTGCTGTTTGTTTGCCCTCAAGTTCCTGTGCTGTTAACTGAAACTGACTCTTTTTCTCAAAGAATCAGAGAGTGTGCTGATTCCTGTAATCCACAAGCAAGGTGTTGATAACACCAAGCAGTTTGTGTGATGATAACTGTGGCAAAAAGCTTCCAGGACTGACCCATTCACTTTCTCAAGTGACCTTATGCAAAATCTAACATGTTTATAATTATACTGATTCACATTTGACTTTTTGGCCTCCCTGTGGGCAGAAGCTGGCCTTTTACTGTGACAAGTGTGAAAACTTCCCACAGGACAAAATCACAATTTTTCTCAGAATTGCTGTAGTTTAAAATTCTCTATTTACATAAGGGCTCTGACCTCTTTTTGCATGTCAAAGCTAATGCTTTGCCACTTATTTTTCCTGAAAACTATTCATCTCTTTCCTTTTCTGAAATCAATCCCCTGAGAATAACGTGGAAATTTTCTGTAATGTCACAGCTTGTGTCAGTGATGGAGAAAT